ATACAGACTGGCCAATTTGATACTGTCTTACCCCCACCAAAAGATCTGCTTGGAGATTAGATAGCTAGTCTGTGTTTTACGGCATGGCACGTGGGGTTGATATTACTAACGGCGGTGCAGAAAAGGTAATATGTTGCTTGTAAGATACAACTGTTCAATGTTTTATTGTTATGGCGGAGGGAAAAGTGACCATTAATAATTTCATTGTTGGAGAGAGCCTCGGGAAGCGTATTACCTTTTTTCCACCAGTCCATAAACTCTTTCCAGAATTTTTTGGCGGTGTGGCATTCAGCAAATAGATGTACTATTGTTTGTTTTTCTTCGCAATAAGGGCATTGATCGTAGTCTTTTATCCTTCCCTTTTTTATGTTTACCGAAGGAAACATATTATATTTGCTCCATTTCCTCCTCTTCCTCCTCTTCCTCCTCTTCTCCAAACACCTAAAAATCGTAGATATTTTCGTAATTAGAACCTGGAAGAAAATGAAATTCAGCATGCTGGTAGGTTGGTACGTTAGACACTGAACCTTGGTCATTTTAGCCAACATAGGTGTCAAAAAATGATTTTATTTGAAAAAAAAAGGTGAAAAAAGTTGCATTTTAAGCCAAAAATCGAACAAAAAGAACGCGTTTGGAACATTCGAACAACCATAGAACAATGGAACAGCGTGTTCGATAACCGCGGTCAATGACCCTAGCGCTACGCACGGAACACCCGAGCTTTCCAAATATGGGCATCCGCCCTTGTATGACACGAGAAGAGATCGGTGGATCAATGTCAGCGGTAAGTTTTCATTTTTCTTCGTAAAATACGGTCATATGAATACCAGTCTCGAGTAGAGAATATTGCATTGGGATTTTGGGTTCAATATCCACAAGTAGGACTGCAGATTTCCACAGAACGCCGGCGACTTTGTGTAATTCTTTGCATGTCACCGCCGGCTCAAATAAAAAAAAAACACTCATAATTTACACTAGCTCCTGACTTGATAGAATCTCGTATGTATAGAGATTTAGGCTTGCTGCCGTTTTGAAAATAAAGTAAACAGAATTGTGTTCATCTGTAACTTTTGTCGACTTTGTAATGTGGGTGCGGGGCCGGGGGAGGGGGGCGTTTGTTTACGTTTATATAAACATGGATGTGACATTACATTTTGTCGTTTTGTCAGACAGTTTCAATCTTTTTCGGGATAATACAGTACAGTTTATGGGATAAGCATCAAATGGGGATATCCCGGGATTTTTCGGGAACCATGTTGACTAAGATTTTTACAGACAGACGGTGCGGCGCATGTTTGTTTCCAAATTATGCATGATGACAACATTAGCACAAACGGCTAGTGTTATTAATCAAATATTTCTTTTTTAATATCGAAAATCTTAGTGGCTTAATAATGTTTAGAACGATAACAAAATAATACAACCTTCTTGGTACGAGAATTTCTGTCTGACCTTGCGATGTGGACGGCCCTAAGTACTGCTTTTGATGTCACCCGACCCGCGCTATCTCAGATATAAAATCTAACACATCCACGTGCTATGTCGCCAGAAGTTCATTTTTCTCCTAGATAGGGGAGGTCGACGCACGGAGCTGCGGAAGGGAGATTAAACATTAATGAGGCATGCAGGGTCCGTCCGTGCTGTTTGTGACAGCGAAGCTCTGCTGAGCGCGGCTGGAAATGTGTTTTGCAACTACATGTATATTTTTACGCGGCTTTTTTTACGTTTGACGCTGACTTCGGCACGATATGATCGCACTACCATGTACACGCTACCGGAGGCGGCAAATGAGTGGTCATTTTTA